CTTCTAACATCAACCCTGAAAGAGAGGTGTATCCCTCACCCCATCTTATAGATAAGGACATGGAGGCCGGAAGAGGTTAATTACTTTTCCCAGGTCACCACACCAGTAGGTACTACAACTGTGATCCAACCCCCTTTGGCCATTATTTTGAGTATTGAATTTTTCCTAAAGTAGATAATTTTTTACTTTGCAATGCATTCTTGCGCAAGTGCATTATACCTCCATCACGTGATTCACATATTGTGTAAGATGATACATTCTTTATTGCTGTGTATAAGGACACTAACGTCATTACACTACCTCCCCTGATTTTCTTCTCATCTCTTCTACATGACTACAAACTGGAATATTTACATTATACCCTGGAAGTCCTGAATTCATATTAGCTTTATTTTTACAGTGAGGAGATACAAGAGACTAGGTTCATGACCCATCCTTCTTGACTGGCCGAGTGTCTTCAAGAAGGAATGATGTAAAAGAAGTCTCTGAGTTCTTGCTTCTTCAACAGTAAACAAAATGAGTTGGACACGTTCTTTCTCTCAGGACCTCGTAAGCCCTGTGTCCTTGTAACCTAGATTTCAGTTCTGACAAAGTTTCAGTCCTCTCTGATGGCTCCTCTTAGAAGGGACTGTGGGTCCCGGGTTCCTCCAGGAGCTACTCCTGTTTTAGCATCGATCGGAAAAGAAAGAAAAAGAACTGACTTGATCATTTTTTTTCTGGATGCCCATTGGATGCTTTCTTTAGCTCTGAAGTCCACCAACTTTAGTAAGAATGCCTCAGCGTTGACTGCTCTCTGCTCATCTGCTGAGGCAGTGGTACCCTTTAAATCCATTTATGGGCCCAGCAGGCTTCCGCTGTACAACTCTGCTTAAATCCATTTATTTAGGTCGTCTTCTCCTGCAATTTTAAAAATTATATCTCGGATTTTTTTTTTCTAGTTTTAAACATACCTAAAAATGCATTTTTACGGATACGGTCCTTATTCTTTTTGACTGTTACTCACCCCTGAAATCAGTTTTAGAGGACCGGGTATTTGTCAGGTAACACTGCGGGAGAGAAGGCAGTTTTTTAAAATTTTTTCCTAAGGCAGTTGTGTTTGCCTGTGTACCACTGCCGCCTCGGTCCAGGTACTCATAACTGTGTGTGCATATTAGAACACTTTTGAGCTTCTATAAACCATGTACACCTGGGATCACTCCATGGTATTCCTTTAACTGGCCGGGAGTGGTGCTTGAGGATTGGTATGTTTTAAAAACTCCCCAAAGTGATCCTAGTAAGGTACAACCAGGTTGGACCCTTGTATACGTCTACATGGATCAACAGCATCGGGGCCCCTCTAGACTGAGGGTCTGTCTTCTGTATTTCTTTACCAACTGCTTGTAGGAACAAGGGCTCCACTTTGAGGGATGCTTTTGAGTCCCAGGAAGCTCCCACGGTCAGCCACACACTGATTCCCTGGCTCCAAGAGAGGACTGTTGTGCTCCTCTGGGAATATTCTTTATTTTTAATGTCAGCATTCTGCTGGCTCTGCCTGAGATCCTCAGGAGCCAGAACCCTTTCAGGAACTAATCTGTTAGATAACCCAGTCTTCTGATCTGTGGTTTATTAATTACAGGTTTTTCAGAGTCTTGAATATGGAAATTACATCTCTGTTTCTCAGTCTCCTGGATGGTGGCTGATTTCAGAGATACGAAGTTGTCTTTACTCTGCAATTTTACAGTTGGGGCTCTGTGTAATTTTTCTACTTTAATGACTCTGACTTTTAATATGTTTTAAAAATTGAGTTTCTCAACATCATCAATTTTAAATTTTAATGAGACATAAAGCTACTTATAAATGAAACTTCATAAATGCATTGAAATTCAATGTATTGTATGACAATTTGATTAGTAAGAAGAGGAAATGTGCTTCTTTTTAAATTAATCAGGCTTGCTTACGTATGAAATACATTGGTCAAATTTACATGCACAATTAGGCACCTAATTGTTTTAAATTCAACGGCATGCAAAAAGAGATGATCATGTGTGTCTAAGCAAATAACTTCTTTTCCTCATTTTTTGGGGGAAAGTTATGTTTTGTTTCCATAAAAACTTTAAAGATCATCTAAAACACTCCAACGTGTGTATCTACATAGATGCATAGTATCAGACCATTTCAGTCCAAACTACATGACCATTTTAAAATTTTTTGATTATCGTACAAAGTTAACAATTCATTATGTAACCATTCATCATTCAATGCCAATGAACTCAAGCATCATTTGAGAAAAAGACACAAGCAGACCAAATTGAGCTTGTCTAGAAAGGCAAGTCATGAAGAGTGGCGAGTAGTGCCAACAAAAACAGAAAAGTGAGGGAAAGAACAACAAGAAAACAACTTAATTCTCCATTATGGCTCTATATCCCAACACAAACATGACTGGTCACCGTCAAATCAAAGGGACATATACTTTGTTCAGTCCATTAGTAAATATTTACAGAGGCCAGCATTGCGCCAGGCCTTGAAGACATGGAGATGAAAAAATGTACTTCCTGTTTTCAAGGAGCTTAAATCCTTGGGAGATAAATGTGCAAATAAACAGTAAGATTATTTCTTTTGTGGGGGCCCTCAAGTAGAGAGTCAGGCTTCTCAAGCCAACACACTCTATGAGGAAACTCCCTCCCTCAAAGAGAGTCCATTGGTTAGTCTTTGGAAGTCACAGTGGAGAAAGCTGAGTCAGCTTGAATATAATGCTGCATTTTGAGATTAGGCACAATTGCTTCATGCAAAAGGCCAGGAAACGGCTTGATTTAGCAATATGATTTGAAAGGACTGGAGGCTTTTGTGCAAGGACAGCCTCACTATTGAATGCTGGCCACCCTCCATACAAGACATGGGTATACCCAGTGAGCCCTCATTCAGAGAAAGAGGGAGCTGGAGGTTCCAAGAAGCCATTCACTCTACCTGTGCCCCAGCTGCTAGAAATCCCGCAGCTTGTTCCACCAGTTTACCAAACCTACATATCCCATCTCCCATACCATAACTGTGATTTCCTGCTCATCCCTGAAAGTCATTGGTATAATGCATAAAAGTCCTCTGCTCTCAGGAGCTGAGAGGAAGGATGTAAGATTGATTCCAAAGCCTGGTAAGTGTAAGAGAGTAGCAAATTGAAATGCTTCTCCCTCTGCTGGCTTCTAAATTTTTTGACTTTTCCAAATTGTGTCATTGGCCAAAGGGATGAAAGATTATCCATCTAAATTCAGTGCTGGAAATCCACCTCTGAAGGCATATTAAAATATAAGAATAAAAATTTAGGAACGTTATTTGCAAAACTCATTTTTTAAATACCAACTATTTTGTTTTTCAGGCCCTGTTCAGTATTCTATTCTATCCAGAGGCTGTAGCCTTGTGGTTTAGTTAATATATCCAAAAAGTATTTCTCAATCAGTGCAAGATCTTCACATATTCTCTCTGAAATTCCAGTATTTGGCCCAGAGTTCTTGATGCCATCCTGCAGTCTGTCTGAGAGTTGATATGACTAAAGGCCAGGGTGACTGACAGGAGGATTTATTTGTCAGGCACCATTTCTGATGTGCAAAGATCGACTGGCTAAGTTCATAGTAGTTGCCTTCAGGGTTGAAAGGAGCTCATGCTTTCTTCCCTGGCCATGAAACCCCCCCATTGTACAGCTGCCCGCTGAGATAGGAAACCACACCAAAAGTCACAAAATAGATTTGACTTCCAAAGGAGCATAACCACCACTTTGCTATACACTGAGACTTTTCTCTAAGACCCTGTGAGTGTCTAAATGCTCTTAAATGCACCTGCACCTGGGCCTTGAAACTTTAAGGAAAAATTGGTTTTTGTTTTCTTTTTTCCAAATGATTCTGATAACAATCCTGTTATGGCCTGAATGTTTGTACTCTCCCAACCCCAACTGCATATGTTGAAGTCAGAACCCCCAATTCGATGGTATTAGGAGATGGGGCCTTTGGAAGGTTGATTCGATCTAGATGATGTCAGGAGGGTGCTCTCTCATCATGGGATTGTTTTCCTTACAAGAAAAGTCCAGAGAGTTTTCTCCATCTCCCTCTTCCTGCCTCCATCCCTGTCTCCCATACACTTTCTCACTCTCTCTCCCCACCCCCACGTAAGAACATGGTGAGAAGACAGCCACGTGCAAGCCAAGACAAGGGGCCTCACCAGAACCAACTGTGCTGCCACCCTGATCTTGGACTTCCAGCCTCCAGACTGGTGTGAGATGAATTTACATGATGTACACCACCCAGTCTACGGGTGGCTACGACAGATTCTCAAAGCATAAAATAATGGGTGTTTTTTTTTCTTTGATTCAGTAATGAAATTTGTACAACTTGCACAGAATTATAATAAATGCAATGATATCAAGTAAATGGCAGATGCTAAGAGCTTCCCTTACTGTATATAACAGCACATTTCAAGACTTCATAGGATAAGCCACAGATAAATGTATACATTTGCGAGCACATCGTATTCGTGTATAAATACTTCCCACACATTTATTACACCGTTGATGGATATTCAGTAAGTATCTCCTTAGTGGTCTTCTGTTCCAGGATTACTTTCCAGCTCTTATGCACTCATTAATGGCTACTATCTCGGAGACATAAGACTTACCTTGCCTACTGGAGTACAGGTACATGTGGAAGGAAACCAAGCCTTGCTTATTTTTAAGTCAACAAGCCCTGAACCTGGCTCAACAACATATTTTTAAGTGCTCTAACTAGGAATCAAAATAGTCTCACATCAGGGATATTTCACTTTCTACAGACCCTGCAGAATACCCATTCAAGCAGACTGTAGTTTACAGACTGTGGGGCAGACGGTATCACAATCCAGGCAGAAGCTTAAAACCTGCCGCTGTGCTTCTTAAATGCTGTACAGGCAATCGTAACAGAAAATATCAACCACACAAGTATTCTTTCCATTTCATAAACATTGTAAAATAGAAACTGAAAATGTGTTTTAGCGGTAAGACAGACCTATCTCATTAAAGCCACTGTAGCCCAGCTCTTGCCTGCTAAGTCCCAGGTCTTCCAGATCCATGCATTTAAATCCTGGGGGGCACTGGTAGCCTTCCTCCAGCTCTGGTGAGCAGTGCGTATCTGGGATAGCTAAGCTATTCCAGGTTACGTTTCTGTGAACAAATTACAAAGAGGTTAGCTGATTTTGACCCTTGTAGATGTTGATTAAAATGAATAATGTAATCAGCCTTCACTGATAGCTGCCCAGTATGGACACAGAGGTCAAATTCATGATTCTGGGAGGGTGTTCATAGCATTGACGACAGTAAACATTCTCGAATGATACCTGACGCATCCTCACAGTAGTGCTTTGTAAGAACACCATTACCATCTTGTTTTTGTCATTAAAGACCAAGACCCAGATAAGCAGAGGAAGGAATTTTCCTATAGATTTGTAAGGAATGTTAATGTGCTTGGGGCTTCCTTGTTATTCACAAAATGCTTAACCTAACTGTGGGCACAAATTCGACTTTTCTACTTCTAAGCAATAGGAAATGATGACAGTCATTTTCCATATGGTACAACTACTATGAGTCTCATAAATGACACTTGGCCTTCTGTGTTGGCAGATGTGCAACTGAGAAATGAAACCAGACAAAACAAGACGAGACTGAAGAAACCAAAGGGATGGCACTGGGAAAAAAAAGAGATTATGGGGTGATTTGGTGACAGCTCCAGGAACATGAGCGTCTTTTAGGTGGACGGTGATGTATCCCTGTTTCATCATTGTGGAGGGTAAGTGGAGATTAAATTGATGTACAAGGATTTAGATAAGTAATGGCTTTCTTGGGAGCAAGTACAGGTCATCATTGGAAAGGCGACTGCGGAATCTCATTCTGGACTGACCTTTAAAATGGGCCCTGAAAAGCTGCTATCTGAGGGAATTCACACAGCTTGTGTGGTGGCCAAAGTTGAGGCTAGACAATTTCACAAGGCTTCTAAATCCATGATTGTATTACAACTTATTTCCCAATATTTCAACGTTTCTAGGCATTTCCTAAGTGGGGACCGTCCTCAGGACAGTCTCCATCCCTCAGCTTACGGCCAAATTGAGGCAGACATGTTGGGTCTGTTTCTTCTTTAATACCCTCTTCTATTCAACTGATTGCTTTCTTCCCTGTACATATATACTTTCTCTAGAAAGAGAGAGTCTAGGTCTAGGTCTAGAGTCTGACCCCCAATTTCCTGAGATCCCTCACCTGCTTGAGGCAACCACACACACACACACACATTCACGGGCTGACACACACACACACACACCTCAGGTCTGGTGACAGCTCACCCAGGTCTGTCTACGCCATAAACAAAGCCCTAGAAGCCTCACCTGCATTTCAGACACCTCAAGTGTTTTCCTTCAGGGTTCCGTTAGCTGCAAGGAAATAATCAGTCTACTGGCTTTAGGCAAGAAGTATTTAAAGAATTGTTCCCTCTAGTCCCATGTTAAGCTGCTCCTTTGGATCCCACATGCAAAACTCCAGGGGAAAGGTCTCACTGTGGACATTACCGCCTGGTTATGTCAGAAAGAGATGGTTTTAGACAGACATAGAATGTATTTCTCCTCATTTCGCCTTGTTATATGTAGGCCAAATATCCATCCTTGCTGAGGTCTCATCCGAGTTTCTGATGTGGAACCCACACATTCGGGCAAAGTGGTAAGGGTTTCAGGGGAAGCTGTGCTGGGTTTGAGCTCACGCCCTGCCGATTTCAAGCGGTGTGACTGGAACACAGTTTCTAAATGTTTCTAAGCTCAGTTTCTTTATCTGTCAGCTAGGGAGAGCAACCGGACTCAGGAGCAAAGCCTGTGTGAAGATGAAGGAAAGGAAACCAGGGGATGCCCTCAGCCTGACACCCAGCTTGTTGAAGAAAGGTTCAATAATAACAATAATGCTCAATAAATGCTCATTATAAATAATTAGTAATCATTACAATCATAAAATGCAGCATACAGTCAAAACACATGTAAAAACACAACAATAAAGACTTGTCAGAAGAACACAAGGAACTCAGATGCATGATACAAACGGCGTTTTGTACATGATTATGCAGCTGAAAGAAACTTCATACATCACCCAAGTCTTAACTTAAGGAAGGTGAAGATTCACTTCAGAGAGGGAAGCCCATCAAAATTAGCATTTTTTTTTTCATTTCTAAGACTTTAAGAAGACAACAGCAGCAAAGTTTAAGAAAGTACAATCTCCATGACAAAGTTCAAAAAACATCATCTTTCAGCTATTTGGGTAGGAAACTGCAATCCGGAGGCAGTCTGCTGGATGTGACTTCTAGCTTAGCCTTTACTGCATGTGTGACCTCCCCTATCTGTGCTTCAGTTTCTTCCTCAGGCGATGGCAGGGAAATGCCTCTCTCCCAGGACTCTGGCAAACCTGTAATGACTTAGGTCTGTAAGGTACTTACAACAGGGTACACGGCAGACAGTAAGTGTCAGGTGTTACTGATTGCTGCTGGTACCACAACATTTGTCCACTGCTTAGATTGGAACCCGAGTCCTGGTGTGTGCTGCCTCAGTTTCCACACCTCTAAAATGGGGATAGACTTTTTACCTACTTGTAGGAATGTTGTAATGACTAAATGAGCCAAACTACTAGTCCCAGAATAGCACTAGAAATTAGTCAATCACTCAGTAATTGTTAACTATTATGATTTCACTGGTTGGTAAGTATTAGAGTATTTTTTTTCCTTTCTTATTCTACCTTTTTTTCATATTAACACTGATTCTCATTTTAGGCACAATTCTCATCAGTACAGATATTATGTTGAAATCTTTTGGCTTCAGAGGCAGCAGATTTGAAACATATTATTTTTGCCAACATCAAGCTATTAGCAAATGCTTGTTAGAGACACATTTATTAGATGATTAATTGCCCTGGAACTCATGTATCTAAAACCACATGATGATTACTCTTTTTAGAAGTGGAAATAAACATCAAGAGTTTTAGAATGTATATTTGTTATTTATCTTAGTTTCGTTGTCACAGTTAACAAAAATCTTCTAGGTTTTATTTTTATTTGTTAATGTTAATTATTTCTTTCTTCACTCCCCTCAGATATTCATGATAGAACAAGAGGTTCTCTGGAATTAGGGAGGGTAGAATTCTTGCTACCATCAGCCAAACTCTAAAAATAGACAATGATTCTTCCAGTCCTAATAAATATTCACTCATGCTTAAGTGGGTTTCAAGACCTGCATTCCTTACAGTTGGATTTCTTGAAAAAAATTATCTACTTTTTAATCCCTCTGATGGAATTTTTAGCCCATTTTCATGAACTCCAACCCACTGAACTTGCTCTAGTTTATTTCCATGTGCCCCATCCAACTGGACCATTTTCAGTTTTTATCTTCTGCAACTTCTGAGAAGCATTCCACATAGTCGCTTTAGTGCTAGGCGGGATAATGGCCCCCTAAAGATGGCCACGTCCTATTCGCTGGAACACTTGGATGTGTTATGTTACGTGGCAAGTGGAATTAAGGTTATAGATGTGAACAAGGCTAAAAGTCTTGAGGGATTATCCTGGTTTCTGGGTGGGCCCAACCTAATCACGCAAGTCCTTAAAAACAGAAAACCTTTCCCAGTTGTGGTTAGGGAGAGAGAGAGGCAGTGTTGCTGACTTGGAAGATGCTGGTTTCATCCCTGCTTCTCAGGTCATTCTCCTTTTCCATCTCCTCCTCCTGTAACTGGCGCTCGGGCCTGAGTTGCTCTGAGCTTGGTTCTTAGCCTCCTCTCTCTTCTCATGGTATCTCTCTCCCTATGCAGACAAATCCATTTCCATAGTTTCAGTTCTCTCTCACCCTAGGTGTCTTTTGGAGTCTCAGTGGTATGTGTCTACCTACCTATTAGATGTCTCCACCTAGCTACACCCCAAGTGTCTCCAACTCTACACCCATTACTGAACATGGACTCCGTCACCAACAGTTCTTCATAATAAGCAGCACCATGAGACCTTCATCCAAAGTACTGAGCAAGCTTGAGATTGAGGAATCTCCTTGACACCCACTTCTCCTCCAACTTCCATAACTCATCATCATGTGTCCCTTAATATCCTCCAAAATATCTTTTGAGCTCATTCAGCTCTCACCATCTCCACCTCCACCTGCACCACTCTCTAGTCCCCTGACCAGTCATCCTACAGCCCCTCTTAGCCCTTCTGACCCACTAGCCACAGAGCATTAAGACAGACTTTTCATAACCTGTCTTAACTGAGGTCCGTCTGGCAAATCTCATCCGTAAGATCCTGAAGGATTTGGCTCCTCCCCTTTCAAGTGTCCTGGTGTCCAACCATGGTGGGCTTCCCCAGCTCTTGGTATGCTCCTTCTACCTCCGGACTTTTTCCTCTGCTTGGGAATCTCTCCTCCCATCTTTGTTTGGTTAACCCATCTTTCAGCTTTTGGGGCCCCCAGCCTCAATGTCACCTTCTTAGGGGAACCACTCCAAGTCCCTCAGACTGGATTAGACATCTCTGCTGTAATTTCTCAAAGTACCCACACTTGACATTTTGGGCTCTTGGGAAGTGTGAAATTCATGTTTGAGTGGTCAGCTATTCACTGGGTGTCTTCCAAACTCTACTATTCATTCCCCAGCAAAGCCTCCAATTCCATATAGTCCCTAACACACAGTCTGTGATGGTTAAATTTATGAGTGAATTTGTCTAGATTATGGTGCCCAGTTGTTTGGTCAAACACCATGTAAATGTTGCTATGAAGGTATTTTTTTTTAGGTATGATTAACATTTAAATCAGTAGATTTTGAGTATAGGAGATTACTCTACATAACATGAGCGGGCCTCATCTAATCAACTGAAGGCCTTCAGAGAGGTACTGAAGTCTTCTGAAAAGAATCCTGGCTCCAAACTACCTTTAGATTCAAGACTGCAACAAACTCATTCTGTAATTTCCAGCTTGCTGGCCTGCTCTGAAGAGTTGGGTCTTGCTAGTCCCCACAATCACATGAGCTGGTTCTTTTTTTTTTTTTTTTTAAGATTTTATTTATTTATTTGACAGTCAGAGATCACAAGAAGCAGAGAGGCAGGCAGAGAAGGTGGGGGGGGGGAGCAGGCTCCCCGCCGAGCGGCAAGCCCAATGCAGGGCTCGATCCCAGGA